TGTCTCATATTCATCTTTTGATCTGAAACCCAAATGTCTTCAGTATACAACAAAAACAAAGGAATTGCCCTTGCCATTCCAATACTTTTGGAGGGGACTGTATACCAAGATTTCTGTTGGCTCTGCAATTTTGTCTGTAGCAAAAAAAAATATATATGAAAATGTTCTGTTCTTTAAGAATCGGTTTTGCTTGTTCATAGTACTTCCAAAACTTATAATTTCTAATTTCTATTATAACGTGTAAACCTAGTGTTAATGGCCTGCCTCATTGTGGATGCATGACCTAGACCGAGAATATACCTAACAAATATATCATGCTATGTGTTATTGTTACCGTAAAAAGAAAGGATTTTATTGTGTTTTATATTATTGCAAAGGAATATGCAGATGTTTAGTGTGAGTTCAGTTGACTTTATATTTCTGAAAAGAATCCTGGCTGGTTAAGTGTATTTGGGCTGTTGTGCTTTTTTTTTTCTCCTTTTTTTATTGAAGACTGTAGATTCATTAAAGGTGGAAAACATGGAGTATACAGAATAAGACAATATAATAACACCCTAAACCAGTGTTTCCCAAACTTTTTTTCTGGGGACCCAAATTTTAATAGTCACAAACCTTCCCGATTCAAGTCAATAGACATTGTTCGTAAACTCCCGGGAAAAACTCACCTTAGGGTCCTTAGGGTTTAACCCAGTGTTTGGGAAACAATGCCCTAAATTGTAAGGACGGTGTTTTTGACTCAACTATGAGCCCAGTTACTTGAAATGATGCTACACTTGCTAAAAGAAAATCAAAACAGAAGTTTGTAGTTTGGTGATATAAATTCAAACATCATCAACATACAGAAACACACTTTTCGGTATTAATGTCAGTATCAAAGACGCATCCACCAAAGGTTTTCAAGCGAAGCTAGGTACTGGGTCATTACATTCCTTTTGTGAAAATGTGAAGTTAAAGTTAGAGCACTGCCTTGGCAGAAAATGACAAAGAACTCAAAACCATCATCCTGCAACATTGTTTCATGTGCTTAAATTTTGAGCCACAGAGAGCAGCTAAAAGCCGAGGAACTAGCACACTGATTCGGTGTCACATAATCTGTGGTTCATCTCATTCTCAGTCTTTTATGCAAAGACGAGCCAATAAGTCAATTTTTTTTCTCCAGGTGGAAGCTCATCTACATAAGCCAATAAGTACTGAGACAACAAGAATGTTTGTCCTAGTGATTGGTTCTAGCTTTTGATTTTGAATTTGGAAAAAATTGATATGTAATGTTGGTGAAATCCATAAAATATAGAGGACTGTTTTGACCAAGGTATCCAAATACCCTCTGACCCAACTCTTGGTATTGAGGCTAGCGCAGGTATCACTTTACGAAGTAAGAAGCTATATTTACCTAATAGAAATATGTTGCTGAGGTAAAACACTGATTTCTTTGTCATTTTGTCCAGTAATAAATTATTCGAGACTATAGACACATTTACAACAATGACTTTTATTGCATTTTTAACATTTCTAGTGTTGGGTTTTATTGATGACTTTTTATTTCCTCACACTCTACACAAGTCAAGTCCACCAAGGGTTCATTTGAGAGTACTGCAATCACATACAGTCTATGCACTGTCGGCTTTGTGCCTGGCTCCATGGTTCCTGTTCATTGTTTCTCGAAATTCTAATTCCATGCGTCCCATCTTCTCAAAAATCACCTCCAGATTCTCAAAGGTAAATTACACGTTATTGCCGCATCATCAATGTGGTCTTCTCGTCTGTACAGT